CTTTTTTTTCATTATTATCTTCTGCGATCGAGACACTTACTCGCGAGACTGCGCTTCGAACGCGCGAACGATCTATCCGAGATTCGCGCATAGAGCACGGTCGATTACTCGTCAACTATACCTACCAACTATCGGTACGTTGCAATGATGAACGCGTTTTAGCGCAACAGTGTATCTCGTCGTGATGGAAGCAAAGTATAACGTCGTGTTCTGTAACTTCTGTCTCTGAACGAATATTGACAATGATTGAGATTATAAAAAGAGAGAGAGAAAAGAAAAAAAATATCTGCGCTTGCATAGCTCGACAGATTGCTTCTCGATTGCGATGCGGTGATATTGGTAACAGTAGATCATCTGGAGGTGGAGTTAAGTAGAGTTGGTAAAAAAATTCGTAGAAAATATGCGTGTGTATACAACGACAGACGAATAATCGTGATAATAATTCTTAAGATAAAGATCCTCGAATATTTTCCATACAAAAATACAACGCAATACAACGTGGAAGTTGCAATCCCGCCATCGTACTTTGCTCCCGATATCCGGGGTTTTTTTTTTTATATTACTCTACTATCATCTATCGATAAACACAACGAGCATCGTCGCATTATAATTAATTAATTTCATTCTCTTCTTCGATGAAACGTGTGATCACATCGACACGGATGGGATGGAATCATGGTGTTTCATGTACATGTATCATCATATAAACCTCTTCTTGTTTTTAGAACAATAACGAATCAATTCCCTCTATCGTTCTAATCTCTACCTAATAGTTTTGCTCAGAACGTTTTCATGCTCTACTGATTCTGTCTCTACGCGCCAACAACGCGCCAACATCTATTACGAGAGTCAACTAACGTCGTTTTCGAACGAACAGCACGCTCATATATAACTATATTTCTTCGGTGAAACGACGGTCAAGCTGTATTCATTCTTCGCGATGAATCGCGCTTTTATGGCTTTTTTTTTTTCCTTTTCTTTTCTTCTCTTTTTCTTTTTCATCGATTCTTGTCAGGCCTCGAAGACGAAAAACCGTTATTCATGCGTCTTGGAGGACGCCGTGAGACGAATAAAAAACGATTTACACGATGTTGGCCTTCGCTATGGAGTTGCCCATCATGACCTTGTTCACGAAATTCACTATGGCCGTGGCTGGTTGTTCCGGTTCTAGCTCGGCGAACACGTGACACTGGTTGTCCGATTTGTGCGCCGGTTTCCTGGCAACGAATCCGAAACATCGACTGGAAACATCGAAGAAACATCACGATCGATAAGGGAATTATTTTATATTTGCAGGTGAAAAATATTAAACTTTAAAAAAAGGGGAAAAAAATACAAATAATAATTTCCAAACATAGAAAGAAAGAACAAATACGTACTGGGCGCTTATTGATCGGCCGGTCTCCTCGCTGGCGAAGTCCCAGGTGCGCTCCTCCGTGTCCAAACCGCAATAACTGATATTATTCGTGGGATAATGCCTACGGAAGAACAACTTTCGCGCGTTATCCGTCAGAGTGATCCCTTGGGTGGAAACTTTGAAATGAACTATAGTCGCGGCGGGCAATGGTTTTTGCTCGAACATGGTCGTCACTGCCTTCTTGATGGCTTGAGGCCCAGTCAACGATTCCATGTCCATGGTGAACAGGTACAAAACATTGCAGGCTAGAAGAAAAGATGATCAACGGATACGAATTCGCGGAAATTCCATCGAAATTCACGAGAATAAGAAATAGAAAGGGAAGCATCGAGAGAAGCAATCCGATCAATTCCTTTCCATCCATTTACCTGCACCCTGCGCGAGCAGTTGCTGCGTGCTGTTCGTCCCCGGCGAATCGAGGGCTCTGGCTGCAGCTTCCGGTTCTGGGAGCAAGAGCGGGCAAGGTAGAGCCATCGCCATCAAGCTGTGCTGGTAAACCAACGCCGACAACGAGCTGAAAACCGGCTCGTTGGCGCATCCCTTTAATCTGACGCCTCTTGAGGTGGGCTCGATTAAAAAGTGCCTGACCAGCTCGCTAGACGGGTCCCTGGGACTGCTGGGCGCGCCTGGAGGTGGGGTCGCCACCTTCAGAGCGAGTCCAAAAGCCCCTGGGAAGGAATTACTGTCCCGGACGACGAACGTCCCCGGCGCTGCGTCCTTCAGCATCGAGATCGCTGAGAAATGTTACGTTAATTAATATTATTCCCCTTAACACTCAATTCCTCTCCTTCTTCTTCAAGTGTAATACCTTGCTCCCGAGATATGTTAGGTTTGTACCAGATTCTGCTCGTGTCGCGCACGAATTTCACGTTCGCGTCGGCCACTTCTTGAGGCTCGGTGTTCGAGTGTACACTGGACCGTCTCGAACCGTAATACTGC